TACCGCCTACACATACCTCGTACGTCGAAATTTAAGTTACCAACAAACAGTGATACAGTCCAACTTCTCAAGGATTTTTCGTACCTAATTTACAGTATAATCAATCAGTGTACATTCAATTTATTCATCAAATTCCCAAGCTTAAAAATTCCTATAGCATTCGGCCCTAAGGTTCTTTTTCTAAAAGTTATTTTTAACTCTAAATTAACCTTTGTTTATTTTAAACAGTAGGGAATTCTTTTAATAATTCCTCTAAGGCAGAACCGGTTTTCATGTTTCTCTTACAGAAGATTTCTAACTTTAATTGCATAAAATACAGTAGCGTGTTTCAGTAAAACGGTGAACGTTTTTTATGTAAAACAGTGAGCAAATAGAAACCATTTTTCCAATAAAACAGTGGACGTTTTCTAATAAAACAGTGGACCTCTTTCTAATAAAATAGTGGACATTTTTCTAATAAAGTAGTGAGTGTTTTTCACACACCTATACTCCATACAGTGCGCTGAAAACAGTGAGTTGTGCTACCAAATTTTCCAGCAAACAGTGAGCATAAAAACCATTCTTCAGCAACGTTTTCAAGAAAAATAAAAGAGACATGCTGTCCAGAATTTTTACAGCAAAACAGTGAGGGATTTTAAGCAAAACAGTGTGCATTTCTTCAGCAAAACAGTGACAACTTTATAATAAAACAGTGAGCAAAAGATCCTTGTACGGCAACATCTTCTCACAAAATAAATATACTTGTGGTCTAATTCATTTCATCGCAAAACAGTGAGCAGAACAAAAGTATACAGCAACCTTTTCTCAAGAATATAAATTATTTTAAGACTTACTAACCCTACTTGATGCGATGTAAGAGGGGATAAGATGTTGTCCACATACTTAGCTTCATAAAAAGTCTAGGTACATATATATATATAACATGTAAACAGTACCACTTATTAATTTGTATGATCATTCTTAGGTTTATATCTAGAGATTTTAAGTTATGACTCAAAGGTATGATAAGGCAGAATCTAGAAGCATAAAAATTTACAAATAAAAGCTTCTTTCTAAGCATGCTTCACGGCTTTAACAAAGAATGATGGAGAGATTTTTTTGTGCCTACCTCTTGATGGAATGCAAGGTAAAAATCGAATAGCACAAGGAGTAATGAACTCAGCTCCTCAAGTGATGGTTGTGTGCACCAAAGGAGGAAAAACCGCTTGAAATAATTCCTAGGTGCAGGAAAACGTGTTCATCAACTTAACTTGGTAGAAGAAAGCAATGGAGATAAGGACTCTTATACCTTTTAACGTGAAGAACTTGGCTGAACAAAGAGACCAAAGAAAAGTTGAAGACTAGATGGTAGGACCTTTTTAGATGTTCACGGTTTTGGGATGGAAAAATAGAAGAAAAATGTGATGATATTCCTTGGATTGCCTCTCTATTGATGCTACGATTTTAAGGGTGGGGGAAATAAGGAGTAGATGGTTGGTTTAGGGAAAGAAGCTACGGTTTGATGGGGAACAAATAAATGGAGATGAAGTGTGTTCCTTCTTTCTATGATGTCTTCGGCTAAGAAGTGTTTTAGCACTAGGTTCCCTTCTTATCTCATACACAGCGCTGTTAGGAAGTGAGGAAGGGGCAAAAAAAATCTGATTTTAAAAGAAGTGGTTCAGCATTCTATCTATGTTGGTTGCACTCTTTTGGACGAATAAGTAGGACAAAGCAAGAGTGGCAATTTTGCCCAATAAGGAAACATGCAGGCTGAGGGTTTATGCCTCAATTGGCTGCATGTCTAAGCTGGTCAAAAGTGTAGATTAAAGCTGAATAAAGATGGAAGGTTCAACAAGTAATGTCAGCTCCTTTTTGGTTCTCCTAAGCGCATGTGAGAGGGAGGTGGAGTGCTTGACTTTAGTCTTTAAAAAGTAAGCTGGATCAGAATTTTCTGATGCCTTTTTGTCCTATCCTAGCGCACATGGATGGAGAAATAAGGATAAAGTTTTGCCATAAATGGATAGCTTCCAATCAACGGCTGATGAGATGGATTTCTAAGGAACTTGTTGAGATAAAGGTACATGGAATTGGGCTGCACTAAGGATCCTTCCCAAGGCCCTAAGGCTGCGGCCCTTTAACATTTAGAAGCTAAAAATACAGCCCACAATGACACTCAATAAGACATTAACCCAATAACATTTTCAATCCAAGTGTGTTCTTAAGTAACATCGTATTTTCTTTTATTTTCTACGACACAATTATGCATTTCTATACTTTATAATTAATGTTTCTTATACCTAAAATAAATCCTCACTTAATACTATAATTCAATAATTCCCTAATCTTAGTTTTAATCCTATGCTAGTTCTCAATAAATTCGAAAGCCAACAAACAATACACACATATATATATATATATATATATATATATCAAATTTAATTTTCCACACGTGCATTCTTATTCTTAAGGTATTTTGTGTATTTTCCTAATTACGTGGGATGTTACAAACAACATCATTTTATTTAATGTCTGGTTCTTTATACGCAATCACATTAAATTGCAACACCATAAGGAGCAATCGTTTGATATATAGTACCAAACTCTAAACAAAATTCCTCAAAGAGGACATCATTCCTCTCAACAATCCCATTGGATTGTGGAGCATAAGAAGCCATCGTTTTGTGTAAAATTTCAAACTCTAAACAAATTTCTCAAAGGGTCATCGTAATCTCCCCCTTGATCGCTCCTTAATACCTTAAACTTTCAATTTAACATTATTCGACTATAACATATATATCAAATAATAAATTCCAATTTAACCCTTAAAATGATACATAATCGTCACATCATTTATGATTTTTTAAATAAAACATATAATTTGGAATTAAATCAACTCAGATATTTTCAAGAAATTTATCATACTTTAATTCCAAAATGCAAATATTTTGCAAACACAGAGAATTTAAGATTCCACATTTTGCATTCTCAAAGTTATTTTTCTTTCATGCAAAAACACAATTATTATGTATTGTTTGCAACATTGCAGTCAACACATATTCTCAAAAAATGCACATATATATTAATCATGTATTCAATATAAAATGCCATCTAATTCACTACTTTCCAAATGTCATTTTTTCTCTCTCATAATAATAGCCCCACTACAAATTCAATTAAAGCCAATAAATTAAGAAACTCAATATTTAGATGACAAAATTAATTCGGGCCGGATACGATTATGGCAACATGAAATTGTGCTTTAGCCATAAATTCACATGAACCGTTTGGTTCACTTGTGGTTACTTATTCAAATGTAACCATCAAATTCCAACCGTGAAAACCCCATCAAGTTTCCACCAAAAACTATTTTATGCATCAATTCATGCATTTCAAAACTGACCCTTTGCAGTTCCTTTTTTTTTTTTTATGTGCAATCATGGATTTAATTGCAATGCACCCTTTATACATGGTATGAGTCCATGAATCAACGGAGACATTTTGGTCTGACTCTCAAGATCAACCATTCGGTGCAACATTTCGTGCCACAGTAATGGCTATCAAATTTTTTTTTTTTCACAAACCAAAACACAACATGCAGTGTCTAATGGCATCCGAAAGCCGTAATGCATCAAGTAATACATGATATCTATTGAGAAAGAAACTTTGTAACAGCCCGTTACGTACCGGTATTGTTAACATTAATTATGATATTAAGCGCAGTTACAATCACAGCAGTTCATTTGAAAAAACGAGAATAAATTTTTTCTGACTATTACGCGAGCATTTAAATCATAAAAAGCGTAATAATTAAAAGCTGTGACCGTAACCATAAACTCTTGCGGAAGACTTATTTTAACTATTTTTATAACTTACATCATTTATTATGAGTTACTAAGGAGTTCCCATAAACTCACTTAGCCTATTTCCAACTTTACATTTTTACCAATTCGAACATGTTTCACTCTAAATTTTTCTGCGACCAAACCGATCGCAACCAACCCTTCTTCTTAGATTATATTTTTGTATTACTTAATTCCCTTTTTAACAAGCTATCATACGCTCAATTCGGAGCTCATTTTCTGCGGTTATCGCCGTTTGAAGTTGGATAAGCAATTAGCCCAAACAACCCCAAAAACAGCTCCAAACCACTCACATTGCTCGAATTACTGCACTCAATCCCCTCAACCAAGTACTCTCAAATTTTTATCCTACAAACTAGACATCTCAAACTTCATTTTGATATATCACACACTCAATTTGACTGAGAAACGAAGCGGGAATTAATTTCCCAAATCCGGTCCAGAATCTGCCTCAGGTGCAGGGGCACATGGGCAGTCCGTGTTTCTCTATTTTTTTCAGATCGAAGATCAACCCAGAATTTCCTAAAATTTTGACACAAGGTAGAGGACATCTCAACCTTCAAAATGGCGTATGGCACGTCCCTAGGGGACCTCTATGGAGGGAAATATGCTCTCCCGAAGTTCGCCTAAAATCTGCCAATTCTACAGAAAATTCGCCAGAGTTTCCTTTGTTTTTCCAATAATCCCAAATTTGTAAAAGGTCCTTTAACCTCAATTGTACCTAATAAACACATGATAATACAACAATAATCCAATGGGTGGCACACACAAGGACCAACAACGCCTTGGGGCACTTACAACCCAATCCAGTTTATAGTTATTAAACATAGAGTCCATATTAATCATTCTTAAGTAGTTGCAATCACTAACACCTTTTTCATGCATATTTCCATCATACATATTATCATAACCTAAAATAGGCCTAAGGCCCTTCCATCATAGTTAGACATGCATCAATACTATTACAATATGGCTTTACAAATTACAACTTGAAACTAAAACTTCAAATTACATTCTTCTAAAATTTCAACTTAATTAAAAGACAACATAACCAAATACATCACTACTAGACTTAGGCAAAATGGCATGAACAAGATGCTAATGAAGATACTAATAAATACAAATGACATGTTCATGCCCTAAGTCTAGCCTAGGCCACACGGCCAACAAAATGCAAAATAAGAAACGCTACATCGCTCACTCTACGGGCCTCTTGCCCGAGGCTCCTGCTCCACTGCTACCTCCTGAAATAAATGCCCCGAGACGGGGTGAGATATACGAATATATCTCAGTAACCAAGAGGTTCTGGAGAAAACTCCACCCAATGGTTCACTTCGATGCATATCAATAGAATACAACAACCACTTTGAAAACGGGATATAGCAAGGGATTTAGAGAATGGGGAATATAAAGAAAACAAAATACGACGATACGGGATGGTAACCCCAATTCCACGTACGCCCTCGGCATATATAAGCCTATGGGTATCATCCAAGGTGTGTTCACAGAAACCACAACCATGATGCCCAAACCAACCAAAACGCCAAAGACATTCCTAGTGTGCTCCTACCCGGATCACACACCATGACCGCAGTCAACTGGAACTCCCTCCTGGAGACCTATCCAGCGGAAGTCCGAAAATGCCCGAAGGCTAATAAAACTGTCTACTGGCCAGAGACTCGGTACTGCAGTACCCATAGCAATAATGCATGCATGCTCATGTGTTCTATACTATTCATACACACTTCCTACCGTTGCCATCAACTGGCAAGGTGGAACAGAAAAGGGGAACAAGCCCCAGTACCAAGAGGTTACCTTAATTCGTGTTTCCACAAGCTCCGCAGCAGCTTATCCCTCAACTCGGTACACAGCGGAATGCCTACACAGAGGACATTCCCAATCACTCTCAGTTCAACCCATACATGTTAATTTATAATTACACATGCAATGAACCAATTTCTTACCTCAATCCACTTGGTCCAAGACCAATGGCAACTCACTGAATCAAGATTCGGGATTCAAGTCGATGTACGGCAACCTATAAAATCACATACAACCATCAGCACGCGTCAAATAACGTCAAAACGTCAAAATCACAAAATCTCCCCATCCACCCTTGATGGTTCGGCCAAATGAGTGTTAATTTGAGATTTATTTTTCTAAATTTTCTTTCCCATTTTATTATGCCTCATTAAGTTGTCAAGAGGCCAATTCAAGTGCCGTTTCGTCATTTTCGCGTCAAATTACATCAGAACGCGAAAACCGCAAAATCCCTCTTTCCTCCTTGAAGGTTCGGCCATCTATGTGTTATTTGGGGATTTATTTTTCTAAATTTTCTTTCTCATTTTAGTACCCATCCTTGGGTTGCCATAAGGCCATTTCAACTGTCGTTTCGCCGTATTACGACATTTACGCATCGTATTGCGAAATATTTCACTCTAGGTTCTTTATGCCAACTAAACCGCTTATTATTTTTCCATTGATTCTAACACTTGCCAACCACCACACAACCCATCTAATTACCTTTTTAACACATAATTCATCACTCAAACAATTTCCAACAACATAAATTTCATAACTTTCCTTTAAAGGCCAAGTTGCATCCTATGGCAATTCTAGGATTTCCATTCACTTCTAATCACTCCACATCTCACACAACCACATTATATCATCATATAATCATACCACAATTCATCAAACAATGCCTCAACACAAAATTCCAAAGTCCCAAAATCATGACCTCAAATTCACTAAGTTAAAATCATCACATTTCACCTAAAATTTTCATTGCATTTCTAGCATTAATACATCATTCTAAGGCATTATCATCTAATACACATTTTCCAATTGAGCTCCCTAACACAACACATCATCAAATCAAGCTTTAGGTTTTCAAAAATTCAATCACAATTAAACCATGTAAATGGGATGGAAACATACTCACAACAAAGGCTAGAAGCTAACCCAAGACTCCTCCAAGCAATGGAAGATCAAAAGCTCCATGAACATCCAATTTTCTTCAAATTTTCGGATCTGATTTTTGCCAAATGCTCCACAAAGAGGCGATTTCAAGGCTTAAGAGTGGTACCAATGTGTTTAGAAGGTCTTTTCCAACAAATTTCAACACAAATTTTGTTGGATTTGGTGGAGAAATGAGTGATTTGTGAAGAAAAGAAAATCAAGAAGAAATGGGCATGGGGGAGGCTGTTCCAGCGTGAAGAAGAAGGAGGGGAGGAGAGAGAAAGTGTGAAGAAATGGTGAGTTTGACTCACTTAAGTCACAGGCGGGTCCCACACGCGTTTTAACTTTAATCAATCACCTAATTTCAACCACAAATTCATGACCTACGTATTTTTCTTGTTCATGTCATATTTTTGTTTCCCCAAAATACTGATAAAATTTTCACGCTTATCGGTACAATTATACCGCAGTATTTTTCCACCGGAAAATCACTATTCATCAATTTTTCCCAAAATGACTCAATTCCATCAAATTTCATCAAAATCATATTTCCTAACTCAAAAAACCATTTATAACTCATATTTGGAACCTAGAGCTCAAAACTCAATCGGCACGTTTTACGGTGCAATCGTAACGCGATATTTTTACCCGCGAAAAAACACTATTCACTGATTTTTCTGAAACTTGCCTGTCCACTCAATTTTTCGTTCTGAACCCATTTCCAAGGTTATTTTTACCATCTGAGACCTTCTACTCAATTTTTATCTTCCTAGGGTTGCGTGTTGGCTAATTACCGTTTTGCCCTTTCTTTGTATTTTGGCCTAATCTTTAGGATTTTCACTAATCCATCACTTGACTGCTCACTTAATATTTTAATTACTTGATTTAAAATTGTGAGGTGTTATATTCACCCCAACTTTTTAGAATTTTGTCCGCAAAATTAAATCATACTTGTCCGCTAACTCAGGATATAGCCGGAGAATCTCATCCTCCCGCTCCCAAGTAGCCTCCTCAAGTGTGTTCCTTTACCACATTACTTTTATCAACAGCATGATCTCCTTTTTATGATACTTATTATCCTTTGATCCTTCACAATCACTTGTCTCTCATGGTTCTGTGACATTTTAATTCACAATACTTTAAACTTTCTCTGGTTTACCGTTTCTCTTTCGCTGATTTGTAGGTAATAATATAACCATATTACGGATTTGTCGGTATCAATTTACCTCATTCTCATCCTTATCCATCTTTCTGACCCATGGTCGTTCTCAAAAGCATCTAATCGCTTTCATGCACATTCACTAGTTATTCCTGGAGTATTTCCAACTCACACGTTCTTTAGTACTTAACTTTTTTCGTTGTCCTCACTGTTTTCACAATACCCCAACAACCATTTCTTTCCACTACTGTTACTACTCTTATCATTTCGTTGTTTTCTTGGTTTCCACCCAAGCACATACTTTCTAGTTTCAAAGGCACTTTGTCGTGTCCTACAATTACGACTCACATTAAATTCTATACTCATATACTTTATTTTTCCTTGTCACGTGTCTTCACCTCTTTTTAGGTACTCACAACTATATCTCTCTCTTTGTGATACGAAACTAGCAATACTCATACTAGTTTATATTTTCGATTAGCCCTATAAGGCCTTTCGACCACAAATACTCATGAAATTTTTCCATCTACAAACTCATATTCATAATTTACACTCATTGTTAAACTCTTTATTAGCTTAACCATCTCAACCAGCTCAACTCCATACTTAGACCTCTCACAGTCTAGACACAACTCTCATCAATGATTTTCGTATCAAAGGTCTTATGCCTAAGGTTTTCACCAAGTAACCATTTTTACTCATCATTCTGTAACAATATTATAGATTCAACATCATCTTTCCTTCGTTTATACCCCCACTTCTTCATTATCGACATTTTTATCATGGATGTCCACTTTAAAATACTATAAACTCACAGCTTTACTAACTTCCACCAATCATCTTGGTTGTTCGAATCAAACAACCACACCAAGCCATTTCACTACTAACTGATGGACCCTTAAAAATGCCATGTCTCTCACATGCAAGTCTCATCCTATAGGAATCTTTGAAACTTGATTATCAAGTCACATAAAACTAAATCCATCATTGCCCCTACTTATACAATTCACCATTGGTTGGTATATCAGTCTCTCGGAACATTCGAAGTTACCACAAGCACTCGACCATATATTATTAGTACCTAACCAAAACAACGTCAGCATTGTGCATTTTCCATACACTTTCCACCATAAGTGGTATATGCGATTATATATAACACTCCTCAATCTACTCCACCCGTAAGTCAGGCTATCAAATTTTAGGTAACCAATTACAATTCCAGTTTCCAACTATATTTACACATTCGTGCTTGATTCCATCACAATTTACCTTTTATAAGGGCTTATAATTCACCGTTTTAACCTGAATTCTTGATCATCACCAGCCTTCTTAGAAGGACACTTACTCCATCTGTCAACACTAAATCACACTATTATCTCTTTTATCATAAGGCGAGGATTCCAACAAACTTACAACCTCACTTGGAGCCGATATTATTTCATCGAACTTACTTTACACCCACAATAGTGTTTCACTATCACACTTCAAAAAAATTTACACACTATGCCTCACCTCTTATATCCAAATCTGACATATTTTGTTCATTTACAAACATCTGACCTCATATTTTGCGTTAATCACATGGAAGAACTCTCTCAATACAGTGGGTAACAACATTCACAGGTTTTAACCGCTCGAGCTCTTGCTGTCCTCAGGGCCCCAGATGTAATGACCCACCGATCAGAGAATCCACCCATATAATCCATGCAGTAATGATAACCTACCACCTGCTGACTGTGTTCTATTAGTATTCCCAACATTTCTTATTTGTGCACTCATGTAGACCAACTCAACTATAATAGCAGTCTCATCACTGCGGGATACTTCCTCATCTCATATCACTCATATAACATAATAATAGTCTCCGGGAACATAATCCGCACGGAGATGGCTACACACTCCGGGCACATAGGCCGCACAGAGATGGTAATATCAAGTCTCATAACGTGCACCAAATGCACAGAGGAGTTCATATTTATATCACATCTGTATACAACAGCAAACGTGTACCCAGTACACAGGGGAGTTCATACTTATAACATATCCGTATATAACGGCAAAACTGGTACTCCGTACACTCCAGATCACACATGGACCCAGTCCATTTGGTGTCTGTATCACTCTGTATATAACAACAAAATATCTTTGGTATATTCACATGGGGCTATCCCCATAACCATAGTAATAATGGTATAATATACACCTGTTATATATATAAGTCAATTCATTTTACTCTCTCATTTCATTCTTCTCACTGATAGTTTACATGTAAGTCACTATTATAATAATTCACATTCTCTTCGTAATTTCATACACATTTCTTAACTCTCAATAGTTCCTTCTGTCATGTTATTGTTCAAATCCATAGTCCATTATCTCTTCCTTGCTTATTCTTCTCACAGATTGTTTTCTCTTTTACTTTGACTATTCACTTGGCATAGTTCATAACATAATCTCTATTCCGTGAATCAAGAATTTTCTCAAAGTTCTGTACACATCTCACATATACTTCCCATCACACAGGGATCTTCTAAACATATTCGTCCTATCACAAAAGACTAATTTCACCTCAATCCGTGCACTGGAAAATTATATCAATCCTTGCACTAACACTTATACCTCAACTCATTAACTAATCTTATCATTTTTGTTTTGACATTACACATTAGCTCTTTTGCTAAACACATAATTCCACACTTTATTGTAACTTAGTTCATACACTAATCACATGATTTCCCATCAGGTTGTACATTAGCTCATTCTCTAATCATACAATCTCTTCAGATACTTCCCATCATCGGGGATTTCATTCGGCCTCATTGTCCTTTTACAAAAAAATTTAATAATTTACCTCAACACGGATAATTAGGCGCTCAGGCCGTCACAAGGTGTACATACATATATATGTATACTGGCACTTAGGCCATCACTGGATTATCATCAGTTTATTCATCAGAATAGGTATACTGGCCATCAGGCCATTAGGTATTATTCACAATGCATTACAACATCCACAAGTAATTAGGCCATTTAAATTACGATATTCATTCTCTGAGATTTCCAAGAGACCTCCATCATGGATCAATCCTCTTATGCTTCGTAACACCTGAATCTCTACATAGTAGCCATTTCCAAGGAGAATTCCACACATTAACGCACACATATAGTCATATTTGTTTCCTTCATGGCATATCGGTCAAGCTAAACCATTATTCCGTTACGGACAATCATACTCTCAATGAACCTTGTTCAATGCCATCCATGGCGATTCTCTCAACTTCTTCCTTATACATATAATACATAATTAATTCATCTCGCCTATGTTTAATCAACTCTACCTCCTTATGGGTTTAAATCCCATATTTCAATATATCTCAATTTAACAATTGACCAGCATTATAATTTCAAGTGGTCAAATCCCATAGGATTAATCATCAATTATTCTATTTATTTCTCTGCATGAACCATCTCAATTTGTTTAAGTGTACATCATCCATCAGGGACTTATAACTTCTAGTCAACATAAAATATTCAAACTCATGCCTAAGCATATATGTTCATCATTTTCAATAACCCAACAGGTTCTAATCTTCCACCTTGATGAAGTCTATTCACCAAGTCCATTGTACACACTATACTACACACATACTTGGAAACTTCACCAATACCTTTTCCATACTATGGACTCATCTCAATTATATATCTTTATTATTCATGGTACTACAAGGTTCATCCATGCAATACCGTACATATCATAGATTTGTTTACAACTTTCACTTACAATCCAGCTTTATAAATTTCATCTACAAGGTCAGACAAAACATTTAAGTATGTTTCCCTGAAGTCCTATAATATTCATATTTTACTTACTGCCATCTCTTGTCCATGGAGCAGTCAACACTGCATCCACAACATCAGGCTAAAGACTTACATTTGGTGCTCCACAGTTGCCACGTAGGCTTCTTATGATGACTACGCATGTAACACAAAGGAATGGGTTGATCAGACCCACACTAAGGAATCACATATGCAGTAATCGATAAGAATCTACATACAACTATGCAACACACAACACAACTATATATACATTATCAGAGTTCCCTAACAAAACTGCTCTGATACCATAAAATGTAACAGCCCGTTACGTACCGGTATTGTTAACATTAATTATGATATTAAGCGCAGTTACAATCACAGCAGTTCATTTAAAAAAACGAGAATAA